ATATTTCCTACCCAAAGAAGATGAAATCTTGACAATAAAAGACACCATGATTGATTGAATTTCTCATGCCAGTTGGAAGGTGAAGGTGGGGTGGGAGCTGAAAAAAGCAGCTCTTCATACAATATCGGTATGAGTATTAGGCCAACCTTTTTTGTGTGTGGTCTTACCAAACTACTGCTAAGAATGTGCCATCCCACATACACTTGCTCCCAGGACTGACAGGGAAACTGTGAGAATGATGACTTTGTTTTGAAACCAAGCTGATGACAATGAGATGCTTAAGGCTGAAAAGTGTGTGTGGTTTTTTTCCAGAAATTCTTTACATGGCCTCAGCGACTGTGCTTAAAATGTCATCTGAATACAGGACTTCTTGGATAAGTTGCCACTTCGACCTCCACTCAGGTTGTAGGACTAAGTGGGAAATGAGCAAGAGCATCAGCTAATGCCCGTGGAGGATCTCACCCTGCAGGAGTCATAGATGGGTCTATGTGGAGCTCTTTTGATCTACTGGCAAGGACAGACAGCCTGCTGTTCTCAAGTGGCAGTCTGGGGCTGTGATCTGAGGGCTACTGGATGTGAGTATTGGCATGTGAACAGACATCAACATCTCACTGTGAAAATGGCCACGAATGACTGCAAAGATGAAACCTTCCTCCTAAACTGTCTGAGCCACCAGGTAGTTATGCATTTCACTTTTTAATCCTAAGCATGCAAGAGATTAGACTCATCAGAAACTCTTACAGGTCAGAGGAAGCTAACGTTGTTACCCACTAGGGTTCAGACATGGCTGTAATTCTACTACACAAAAGGTGTCCTCCACGGAAACCAGACATTTCTGCAATCGTAAATTCCATCACGTAACAACAAACATCCACAATAAAATTAAACACCTTTACCCTCCCCATTTGTTTCAATGACTTGTGTGTGGTATCCAAGTACTCTATACCATGAAGCTACCCGTGCCCTTCAACAAAGATATTTTACATATAGATTATCAACATGTTTTTCCAGACCAAAAGAACAGGAATTTAGGTTAATTTAATAGAAAAAATAAAATATGGAATAACATTGATTTTGGCCAATATCAGTTACAACAGAACTACCTTATTTTACAAATAACAACTGAACATTTAACACATGTACAGTATTTTTTCAGTAAAAATGAATTTGGATATAACAATGTGTCAGTTTTTTAAAAGAAAACAAAGATATTAATTTCTTCTCTATAATAGTGTTAGAGACATTTGTAAGTATCCAAACAAATTCTTTACAATCCATTACATAATTAAATCTCAATTATGAATATATATTTATATATAATATATATTTAATATTAACTTAAACTTTGAAAGCATTATGTTCTAATTAAACATGTTATACTGAGAAATGAGGCAGTAACAGACTAGTAGTTGAACTAGCACAAATGGAATTCTTTTAAATGTGAATGTTTAACAGGAAATTTGTAATAGGCACCAAAGGAGCTTGACTGGCCCTGTCATACTGAACCAGGTTGCAATAGTTTATCTGCTCTCTGCTAAAGGTGTCACATTACCTCTACAGTTTTTTTTTCTGTTTGTTTGCAAAACTTCCACTATAATTTTTGATCCTCTTTATTTTCTAACATCCACATGCTTAAACACTTGCAATCCATTTTCTATTTGTGTTTCCTGGAAAGATAACTAAGAAAGATACTTTGCACATTTTAAATATTATCCCCTGAAAACAGTATCTTTAAAGTTCAATTTTCTGTTTTCTGCTAAATGACTGTCTTTTGAACAGTACGCTAAATGAAACTGATAAAGACATTAAACGGAAATTTGTACTGGCAGCCGTGTGCCTGGGTAAAGCGAGAAAGGCAGGAGCTGCTTCTCTCACCATCCAGAATGGCTTTGCAGTGAGGTAACTCCATTGGCCTCAGTGGACTATTCCTGCCAAAATTTCTGTTGTGAGCAGTTAAAAGCAGGTTCAGGCCCATCATGACATGATTGTTACACCAAGAGAACCATTGATTTCTTGTCCTATATGTAATTATTCCTGGAGATACATTTGGCATAATTATAAATCCAGTCCTGTAAACACATCCTGTCGCATATAGTCACACTGACATTTATGTATGGGCACTATGAAATAGCTCCACATATCTGTATGATAATATCCCCTTTTTTGTGAACATTACAAGACAACAATAATTTATGAATACTTCTTACATGTTAGCAAAGTTTTCTGACTTCTGAGCGTATACATTACTCTCGCTTATGCAAACCAAGAGAAGTAGTATCTTTTGAATTTGTTCACTACAGGAACAATGATTTTTTAAAGTTTATTTGAAATAGCTTTGACAATTTAAAAAAATAAAATAAAAATCCTAGCATATCTGTTAATAAGCTAGCTGTCTAAAAATGAACTCTATATGACCAAAACCACATTTTGGGCAAACATATATACATACTGCATGTGATACAAAAAACAGCACACAGCAGAGGAAGTAAGAAAGAAATGTGTGCAGAAATGTTCTTTTTTTTTTTTTTTTTTTTTTACTTAGTCCTGCAGCTAATGATATTACTGATCCCCTCAGGAACTCAAGTTCCCCCATCAATACACATAGCACAAAAAAGACTAATGCAAACATTTTTGTATTGTTTAGTTTTAATCCATGTAAACTTGTGTTGTATTCTTGAAACACTCTTTAAACATCTTGAAGGGGAAAGAAGCAGGAAAAAAAGGGAAGAAAAAGGACCTTCAAAAAACAGGAATAATCCTAAGGTTGACAGGAAATCAAATCATGAGTTAAACATTAATTTTGGCATCAAATGCTTTGGTCACACAATACTGACTCTGTGATCCTGGATGCTCAACGCTAGACACCCAGTTATGAAAGGTAGGCGTGTTGTAGTTTTTCCATTTAAGTTCCAACAAACAGTTCACCATCTCCCCAGACAAAGAGGGGGGAGAGAGAGAGAGGTGGCTTTCTTTTTTTTTTTTTTTTTTTTTTTCTTTCCTTTTTTCCTTTTTCAATAATACGGATTAATCTATAAGTCTACAGGAGCAGGAGGATGCTGGGAGGTGTCAGTTCACCCCTTGTGCGTACATGTTCTGCAACACAATTGCTGAAGCACTTTCCGCTGGCAGAGATTGTTCTTTTTCACCAGCATACAGAATCCTCCCTCGGCCCAGGACTCTTCCGTGGCTTCCGGAGGGCAGCAGCAAGAGAAGAAGAGGAGGTTGAAGGTTTGGAGAGCATGGCGTGTACAATGGAGGAAGGTTTAATTGGTCAGACAGGCAGATTTGGTTGAAGAGACCATTCAGGAGCAGGTAGCAAGTAGGAAATTTGGTCCATCAAAAGGAATTTCAGTCAACAGCATATTTTTTTTTTTTCAGGAAGAGATATTGTGTGGTCCGACAGGGAATGATTGGTATCCATTTGTGAAAAGGAAAAAAAGATTAGAAACAGAATAATTAGAAAACAGTGATATTTACAGCAAAGGAATTTGTTCTCAATTTTTATGAATCAAAAGAATAAAACAGTCAAACCACAGAAAAAGAATAAAACATTCTCAACAGAAATGCAAATCCTATGGAGTGAGCTAGACTAGTAACCAGTGCTTGATTGTCACACAATGAACCGAAGACCCTCTACTTGTTCTAAATTAACAGAAAAAAAACCCCTTCTGGACCTCCTTGGCTACCCTAGACTGTTGAGAACACGTGCTGTGTGGTGGGATCCAGCACGGTGCATTGCAATTGCCTGAAGGCCCGCGCATTGATGTGTTGTGCTTTCATGGCAGCTGCACTTGGAAGAATGGGGGAGACAGTACTGAGATGAGGTGTCCCCAGTCTTGGGCAGCTACATGTGTAACTGACTGAGGTTACATGTGTACAAATGAGGACAGATATATCCCACCATGTTAAACACCAAACTGGTATATCTGCAATGCTGTACCGAGACCACGGCTACTCAAAACTTCTCTTCATTTGCCCATCTATGTCTGACCTTCTCCAGACTTGCTGTAGACTACAGTGACACTTGTAATGTCCTGATGCAAAAAGGTCTCATGACTCGTTTACCAATACCTGTAATGTAACTTTAGGATGGACAGACAGGGTACTTTTCAAAGTTTGAAGGCCTAAATTCTAATAGGAACTGTAAAGGTCCACAAAACCAAAACCAAGACTCAATCCTGCACCCCTTCCGTTTTCATTTTTTTTAAGTCTTTGGTAAAACTCTTACTAAATCCAGTGGAAATGAACTGGAACCAAGAGTCATTGTTAGCTTTTTGGACATCTGATGTCAGGTGTCTTCCACATGGCTTAACACTGGGCTTTGTTCTAGCATGATTTTTCCTGTTGGACTGTACCTGTTGGGCTGTATCTACAAGTAATTCACATACTAACATTTTTAGGGAAGCACGATGTTATCTAAGTGTCTCTGTAATTGTGACATTTGAAAGGAATGAGTATTAGTGAATAATTAAGCCAATCATATGCAGTAAGAATGCTATCTTGGTTGCCACAGAGAATGTGGAGGAAGTTCAAATCTCCACCACAAATCGGGTGCTCCCTATTTCAGAATTCTTTTGTTCTTGTTAACCTTTCACATAATTCAAGCAATACTACAGGCACTTAAAATCCTTTTTACTTACCAGCATTTTCACAGTTTAAAGTGGCAAAATAGATAAATGTGAGTCTATTGATAGTACACTAGGGTCTTCATACAAAAATCTTCTCAAAGCAATGGCTTTTGAAAAACAGATAAGGAAGGAAAAGTAGGTTGTTGGCAGGGGGGGAAACTATTTTAGGAAAATTCAGGTAAAGTGGATGTGACTAATCTTGTTAATACATGCAAATATAGCTTCCTCCTTTTCATAAACCTGAAAAAATTAAGATGTAGCCCTCAAATCAAGACTATAACAAAAGAAAATAAACAGACCAAATCAACCCAATACACGTAAAAGAAGCAGCTGGCAGTGGTAATACGGATCTTTTCAGAGATTTGCACTCACCATCCTTGCAGACTGTTCCCACTACACAGACACCAGTGTCTAGGTTATAGCCGCTTGGACAGCTTGTGCAGTTTCTGTCTCCTTGACCACTGCAATCCAAACAGCTGGCATCGCATCTGAAAGACAATGGCAGGAGTTGGTCTGACAGCCTCACCAAAGACAAGAGTTCCTAGGAGACCTCTTCTGCATTGCAAAGGGCTTGCTTGCTGTTTCTAGAGGTACCAGCTGCTCTATTAAATTAATTATTTAAATAATTAAAGAATTAACTCCCCCTTGCAACCCAGTCCTGCTTCTTTCCTCCAACCATTTTCTATTCACACTTTTTTACTAAACAGCTGCGTTATTCTACTGTTTTGGGACTATGCAGAAGTAATCAACAAAAATACTAAGTTTATGGTGCATACATGTGCCAGCAAGGCATGAGCTAAAGCCACAGGATGGAAAAGACTGACCTGTTGCCCAATCCTTTCATCGCCCTTCTGGCTCCATCATACTTTCATTGTGTATCGATTTTTTTTGTGTGGACAACTGTAACACATGGTGATTCCCTTCCTGCCCTGAATTCAAAGTGAGTCAATAATAAATGATTCCAAAGGGCAACGAACAAATGGTATTTGTTTAATGATGAATGGAATAGAAAAAAAATGTCCCCTCCTTGCACAGCACAGCCTTGTCCCAAGATCTATTCACCAATTTGTACACTGAGTCAGGTGAGCTATTCTGGACAGCAGTCTGGTAAAATACTTGTGCCATGTTTGTGAATATGCAGCTGAAGAATTGAAATGGTCCTTCTGAATAGTAATTAACTTGCAATTAAAAAACCCTAGTTTGTCTATTTTGGTTTGTTACTGAGAAATGTAGATCCTCTGACAGATTTGTAAATTTTACATTTCTACGCCTATCTACTTAGATTCTACACTACAGTCTTTTTTAAAGCGTAGGACACACTTACATGTGCAAGAAAAAATGCTTTTAGAAGACCTGCATGAATACAACTCTGATTAAAATTAAAAAAAAAAAGCTTTTCCTTCATTTGCTCAGCATGTAATGTATTTTTCTTATTTTTTGAAGTCAGCAGTGGTTTACGTTTTCATAAATATTATTATATAATATTATTACCGCAGTAATAGCTAATATACTGCCAAACATCCGACATACCTTTTGCAGCTTTTGTATCCACTTTCAGTAGAGTGATCAAGGTAATAACCACTGCTACAGGACTGTACACATCTTCCATCCTCCATAAAATAACCCTGTGTGCAGTTTATGCAGGCATCTACTCCAGCACCTTAAACCAGAGAGAAAATACACTGTATTACTGGCTAGTTCCTCTTATTGCCTAGCAGACACCACCTCTAACTGCAGCAAATCTTATAATTTTAGAGACTATGTTTTACCTCCCTTACTTTCTTTCAAACAGTAACATCAAGCAAAAAAGTACATTGTTAGAATAAACAGCATTACATAATTTCAGTATATCTTTTTTTCTGAAAGAAATGGCTGTTAATAGTTCTAAAGCTTCCACAAAATCTATCAGTCATTATTCCATCCCAGAAAGAAAAAGGAAGGAATTACTGGAAATCAGAATTAACTCTACTAAGAGTAAAAAAAAATAAAAAGAAATGAAAAAAGAAAGAAGTGTATGCACACTTTCAATTAGAAAACTTAGATCTTCATGTTAGTGAAAGAAGTCTGCTGTATTTAAAATATATTAAAGAACTATCAAGAGAATTTAGTTTTTACATGTAAACAATCACATTATACTGTAACTATGATATAGTAGAAAAAAATCAGAGCTAAACATATAGAGGAAAGGAAACGATGCAGCTAAATGTCAGCAGGGTACCTGCACATGTTGCACAGGAACGGTGACATGGTTCACATTCTCTACCATTATGGTATTTTCCTTCTTCACAGCGGATAGCACATTTAGTGCCATGCAAACTATTGTAGAAAGGAAAAAAGCACAGTGTTTGGGCAGATAACAGCAATGGAGGACAACAAGGTCATGAGCAAACCAGTGGCTCTCTTACAATAAAAGAACAACCCATGTATTAGGATTCACCAGCTTCCATCACTGGTCACATTTTATAAATTTAGAGACAGTGATCACTTCAAGTGGGAATGAAATGCAGTTTTGCCTGTGGTGAAACACAGAAGCTGTTTACAAACTCATTGTAAATACTACCAAGTAGTAGGGGACAGAAGAAAAAAAGAAAAGAACAATGCCAAAGAGTACTAAAAATTCAGGCATGTAAAATGCAATTACCCATGAGGAATTTGGCACAGGGTCAGCACCACTGTATTAAAAAAAAATGCTTAAGGGACTTGTTAACAAGTTCTCATGCTTGTCTTGAAAGACCAGCAGCATCTCCTGACACTGTGCTACAGCACAGGCTAAGAATAGATTCACAGTGAAGGAAATCACCACCTCTTTCTGCAATAGCCGTTTCCTTTGAAAACTCCTAACTGAATGCCAGTTCTGCAGGGCTGGGGGAGATTTGTCAAGATTACAGTCGGAGGTATTCTGCCTGCAGGCACTTTTGAGAGAGAGCACAAAAGACTGAGTAACAGAGAAAAAAGAAATACCATAGCGTCACATTTCCATGCTTCCCTATAAGTTGCTGTTTATGCCTTCATGTTATAAGGTGCCTATGTTGGGGGTTTTTTGTTTGTTTTTTTTTTTTAAGTTAGACTTCTCTGCCATGTTTGCTACCTCCTGTGGAACCTCCGCTTTCATCCAATTTAACTCTTTCTCTAAAAATGCTCTGCAGCTCTGGGGATTATGACCCTGAGTGAGTGCTAACCCTGTATTACAGATTGGATCCAGAAAAAGTTGTGCATGCTCAGAACCACTGGAGATTTTCAAGAGTGTATATGGTCCCAGTTTAGAAAAAAATTAAATTAGCAGTTCAACACACCTAAAAAACCTTGTTTTCTTATTATTTTTCCTCAGCCACACACCTCAAAGGGCTTTACAAGGCAGGTAGCATTATCATATTTTTACAGATGGGAAAACTAATAATTTGCCCAGGTTTATTTAATGGGCCAGTAACAGGATCAGAACTGGAATCCAGGTGTCCCACATACCACCCAGGGCCATGCCCATCGATAACTGCGAAAAAACCACAGCAAGTTTTAAACAACTGGGGAATATGAAATGCATGTCCTGCAAGACTCCGTGTATCTGTCACACCCACACAGATGGTATTTTTTGAAAATGTTACCAAAAATCAATCTCAGTTTGCTAATATTGCCCAAGAAAACATGAAGTTTGGGTTCTTTTGATTTTTTTATATTTCAGTTTCTCCTTCTCACATTGAATGGACTTGTCTGCTTTCTTCAGTGGTGCTACAAGCTGCTATTTATGATAATGGACAAGGAAACTCAGTTCCTGAGAAACAGACAAAATGTGTGCCTAAATTTTCCTGTAACAACCATGTCCTATAAGGTCGCAAATCTATGTAATCTTTGGTCTCCTGAAATATTTGCCCATTGTAGGAACTTCTAAACTGCTAATTTACTAATTTGATTTTGGAGATACACAGGTCACCCTGAGTCTGTTAAAATTCTCCAAAATCTTAACATGGACTGAAAATTTAATAACATTTTAAAAGGGAAGCAGATACTCATATTTCACAGAGTATAAATAGACCAGTGTTCTGATCCGATCCCATGCTTTCCTTCCCATTAGATCACACTTTCTTTTCAAAGGGTCACTTTTAAAAAAATGAGATACTTGCAATAAAAATTGTGCAAGCCCTTGGAAAATCTAGATGCAACATAAATACACAGAAATGAGAATTCTTTTACAAAATGCAAAGGAATCCAGCTATTGATGTCCTAGAAACAAACAACATTCAGATTTTACTAAGAGCTGAAAATCTGCTTTGACATAAAGTAAAAGCTCACTGTTAAAATATTCACAGAACACTTGTATTCTACAAGATGAACCCCTACAGATACTGAATACTGACTTCATATTTTTTTGTGGCATAAAGACAGCATATATTCTGTCATGAGTTTTATAAGGTTTTTGACCTCTGCTGCTTGGATCAAAGGTCATTCCTTCGTAATGAGCTTGAAATGTGTACTGCTGCTTTGTAGGTTTTACCTATCAGTTTCAAGAATGATTAAGTCTCCCTATGAAGAAAAAATATCCACTGCTGTTTAAAATATGTGCACACTATACTGTAATAGAATTGAGCCTGAGGTACTTGAGATAAGTGAATGACTGGATGTACGAAGAAATACAATAAAGATAAGAAAATACTTTCTAACTATCACAGGAATGAATCAGAAAGATTAATATGATTCATCAGCTCTACCTCTAAAATAATCCTTGACTGCCAGACTGTAGGTCAAAAAAGTGAAGGAGCCCGCTTTCCACATGACTGTGGTTTTTATTTTACCTGAAATGAAAGGTCTTCTAAAAATCCATCGTTAGCCAAACTGGCACATAGTAGCACAAGAAAAAACTAGACAGTGATGGAACACATGAAATGAGGGCCACTCAAGGTTAAATAGCTATCTGATGTTCTTCATTGTGCATCCACAGCCTTGTAAGCCTCTTCAGGTATTGTGTTTAACTACATCCATAATTTCCTTACCTTAGGCCATGTTTGCATTCTGTGCAGATTTGGAATTCAACACATGTCTTACAGTTTTCACTACATTTTCGGCAAACAATCTTATCTACAAAGGAAAAAAAGAAAATAGCCCAGAAAACCTTGGTCAGTTAAGTTTAATAAGGCTATATGGATATATTATTACGTGACTTACTGCTTCCTAGCCTGATATCAGGAAGAGAAGCAGCAAGTGAGACTAAAATAGCTAAATTCTGCCTATCATCAGCTTTTTCCATCAAACATCAAATGGTTTAATCTATTTCTGAAGTTGTACCCCGAGAAAAATATGCTTTGAGGTAATTAAAAAATCTTCATAAACATTTTAAATTTACATTAACTACTTATAATATGGACTTAAATTGTCTTTTCATATAGCAGTGATATACAGTAATGATTGCCATGTGTTCCAGAGACTGTCCTGCAATTTATCTCTTACATTTCCATGCAAGCAGCCTGTCCTGTCTTACCTGATTTGGCGCTTAAAGACTCACCTGCGTGAACAGGTCTGATCTTAACAAAGTCAACACATAAATTACTTAACACTTGCCTTTTTCATCTCAGGAGCTCCCTACTTTAAGAGATTTCGCTCTTCAGACCTGCTGTCTTTTGAGAAGCAGTGCCATGTACCTCTCTGAGAAGAAAAACCCAATGTTCCCATTTAATCCTAAATTTTCATCTATCCATCTTAATTGGGTGGAAAGGAATTCCCTTTACTGTAGTTCTCACACAGTGAAAAATGGAAGAATTTAAGTAGTACCTGTCTTTACTAATCCTCAAAAATGAACACACAGCTTCATGATGCAGAAAGCAAAAGGTTAGGCACCCAGATGAACAAAGGTCCTAAGCGCATATTTATCTTCTAAGGATGTGTCTAAAGATAACTGAAGTCACTGCAGTTTTAAGCACGTTTGAATATATGTCTAAGTATTTTTGCTAGCCAAAGCTGGAAATTAAACATGGGCCGTTTACTTGGCAATCACAGGAGGAAACTGAAGGCTGGTGTCTCACATGGCAGAGAATTACTGCTCTTGCGTCATCACATCTGTACTGCAGGTACTGAGGTCTGTCAGCCACATCAATTTAAACCATGTTTTACATCTGAGGAGCCTATTTTTCTCAGAACTCCAGTTCAGTGGCCATGGTTGATTCCTTGGCTCTCTCTTCCCTCTGGTGCCATATTTGAATTTGGGGGAATGGGGAATGTCTCATAATTCAGAATGTGGGTGCTGCCTGTCCCTTCCTGGAGTAGTGATAACCTGCTCTGTCCTGCAGCTGATTTGCTCTTGAACCGCCCTCGCTCTGCTACTGTTATTCCCAGCCACAAGCAGGAAAGACGTCCTGCCACTAAGCATGGTTTTTAAAATAAAGGAAGATTTTTGAGGAGCTTCTTGATCACACTTGGCAACCATTTAATAAGAGGAATAGGATAAGAGATAGATGCATTAACATACACTCCTCCTACTCGTAAGTATTCCGTCAACCTCCCCAGATCAAATTCTGCAGCCCACAATAAAGAAACAACAAGAAATACTAACTCTTATCCAGGTAAAACCCATCAGGGCAGTTGGTTATACAGCTATTGGTTACTTCATTCAGGTAGTAGCCAGATTTACAGGTCATGCACTGGTCACTATGGCCTCCAACACAGGTTTCACAATTGGGTGAGCATTTTTTACAGCGTTTCTTGTCTGCATTGTAGTGACCAGGTGGGCAGGTCGAAACACAGATCCTGCAGACAGCAGGGAAGAGAAGGCAGAGTCGTTAATGAAATAACCTGCCACCACATTCCTGGACCATGACTGCAAAGCAGAAGTATTTCCCAGCATTGCTGCTTTTCTAATGATCATGTTTACAAAGATGTAACCCTCCAAAGCACTGCATCAAGCTGGCTCTTCTCTTCCACTTATTTCCCTA